CCACGCCGGCGTCACAGCCCGCGCCGGCAGCGCTTCCCCGGGAAACAGACCCGGACCTCCCGGAGGTTCCGACCACCCGGAGGTTCCGACACCGCGCTTCCGGTCCGGCGCGCGCGTGCCCCGGGGGCCGGTTCTCACCGCGTAGGGGCGTGGCTCCCGTCCCAGCAGTCGGGATGGGCAGGCAGCCTTGCATAGCCCAGAGGTTAGAAGATAAAGCCCATTTAGTTTCCTTTGTCATCTCTGTAAGCTAACTTTGCAGACAGGAATTGGTGAGGGTCACAGGAATTTTATCTAGCAAACAGCAAGAAACAGCCACTAGTTACTAAACAACTTAGAACAGTGGTAAGTATACATTTGTACACAACAGAAAACACAAGATTTACATTTATAGCCTAAAATGTGAGTTAACCCATTACACCCCCCACCAAGCCTCATGCAGCCATGGGGGAGGGGGGCCTTCTGGAGTTTGTGATTGCTTATTGTGGGTGTGGATGCTGCACCTGCCCTGGGGCAGGTAATTTGCATTACAACGTAAGGCCAGGAGAGAAGCTAGCTGCTTGCGCTGCTACCTCCTTTTGCTCTCTTGCTCTTACCGCAGCCAAGAAAGGTTACTCTCTACCTAATGGCGCAGCTAGCTCTGCCTTGGAGCCAGCCGAGTATGGACTGAAACCTCCAGAAACTGTGAGCGAAATAAATCTTTCCTTCCTTAATTTTGGGTGTTGGGTATTTGTCCCAGCAACGAGAAAAGAGTGTCTGAGACAGGTGTTGATTCATGTGCTCCTCACAGCAACCCCATAGGGATATAAGGACCACTAAATAATCTAAGTAATATAAAGGAAGTATTGTAACTCAACCTGCTAGAAGTCTGATGTGCTGTTTGTGTTTTTTAAAATTGAAGAATGATTTTTTTTTTTTTTTTTTTTTTAAGACAAGGTCTTACTTTACAGTTCAGGCTGGCCTTGAATTCATTGTGTAGCCCAGGCTTGTCTTAAACTTACAGTGATCCCAGTGATCCTTTTGCCTCAGGTTTTTGAGTGCTGGGATTACATGTTTGAACCATTATGCCTGCCAGACATGAAGAATGAATTTGAAGCAACAATGGACATTAAGGGCTGTAGATATTTATTGGGGGAAAGAAAGCCTCTAAAACAGAAGGGGTCTCAGGTAAGTGGCCTGTTATGGGTCACTCAGAATAGGAACCAGATCAGCCAGATTGGAATTTGGAAAGCCATTTATTACTGAGCTCAGGGCCCCCAGTCTGCTCTCTCCCAGGAGAGGACCGAAAGGCAGCTAGCCCAGGAAGCAGGGGGCTTTTAAAACATGAAACCACATTTGTTTGGTAAACAAATTCACTCACACAAAACAATGCTTTCAGGGTCATTGTGACCACTATCCAAACTAAATTTCCTGGGGCTTTGTTTTAGTTTCTGGTTATCTTGCACCTGAGTAAGTACCTGCAGGCAATCTT